GTTGAAGAACGTATTTTTTTTTTTGAAATTGACGTGTTTCCATTGAGCAAATTTATTTTCAAAATTCTAATTTCCACATTTTCATGGTCAATGGAAACACAGCTACTGTCTGATGTTTTTCAATACAAAACAGAGAAATATTTATGCCCTTCTTAATTGAAATTATGAACATGTGTTTAACCTCAAAAGTTCGGTTTTTGAATGAAATGTTGCTGAAACAGCAAGTTTCTCAGTGGATCTGTGATCGACAATGTCGTCTAGGTGGAGTAGTCGAACACAGATCCACTGATCCTTCAACACAAGACGTCTTCAGAAGAAAAGTTGATTAAATAAATGTTAAAAATCTGTTTGCATCTTCTTTTCGTGCTTGTGAGTTTTCTCCGGGTACTCCGGTTTCCCCCAAAACACAAAATTATGTACACCAAGGTGCCTTCAGGCCCAGACCGCCCCTACAAAACAGATCTGTGATCTCACTACGATTTGCCTGGATAAATAACAGCAAATTAAATTAAATTTAAATAAAGCTGAAAAGATTTTTTGATATTTTGATTGGAACACAGAGTCAAACGTGGTGAACAGGACAGGCAGAGACAACAAATATGTTCCTAAAGTTACAGACCACAAACCTCCCAGCGTCTCTGGGACTCGTGTACCTGTTCTGTTGATGGACATGTTGGACGTCCTGGTGCGGGACAGTTTGTTGGCGGACACTCTGTACAGCGAGCCTCCGATCCAGCACATCCCACTTCCTGCCCAGCGCTGAGAGGACGCCGGGTGCCGGTCGTGAGGAGGCCTGAGGCGGTTCTGAAGGAAACTCCTGAGAGAAAAAAGGATCATTTTCAGTTGCTGTGAAACGTTTCTGCACTCCAAGTTAGGAAATTATCTCCTTATCCATCTTTTAATTCCACACCTCTTCCACCATATCTCCCCTTCTTTACTTTATGTTTCCCATCCTGTAGTCACCCCCCACCCACCGCCCTTCCCTCCCGTGTCACAGCACTCTGTTAAATTGCTCCTCTAATGGAAAGGACGGCAGTGGGAAATGGAGAGAATTGAAAAGAGGAGAGGAGGAAATCAATGAGATAATAGGCAGGGCAGGGGGCCAGAGCAGCGAGGTTGGCCCCCCTACGCTGGAGTGTAGAGACCACACACACTCCTGCCGTACAATCACAGGGGTCTGCACGCTCTCCGTCCAGGAGTCGCTCGGTGGGCTGCCGTGTGCGTGGGTGGGGTGGGGTGGGGGGTGTCTGCCGGGCGAGCAGGGGTTATGGCGATAAATTGCACTGTCCTGTCACTTCTATTTGGGGTGGATTGGGGCTGGTGTGCAGGGCGCCGCTGCAGGTAATTTGCTGCCGTATTTCAGATGGGCTGGAAATGGGTTTGGAGCGAGAGTTCATGCCTCCCATTATGAAGAGAAGAGAGGGTTACCCCCCCGGAAAGCACGCCACGCTCAAAACAACCGAAGCTTAACACGCAGAGAGCTGCTGCAACACAGAGAGAGAGAAAAATAAAAAATAACGGGCCGAATATCAACCATCAGCTGCGCACACGGACCACCTGAGCCATAACTCAGCTGCACAGGCACTCAGTTGCACCGACTCAAGATCGGTGGCTGCCCTACACGGGGCAACGGCAGCCTGGGGAGCTGTAATGGGGGGCTAATGTAGGAGCRCCAACTGCCACCCAGGGAGGCTTCAGCAAGGACCGGGCGACCCCCCCAACAACCACAATGGAGGTTAATGAGGATATGACATGAGTAGTTAACACAGACAGCAGTTAACCCTGACACAGGGCTGTGGGGGCGGGGCTAGTCTCTGATTGTACAGCTAACCTCACACACGTGTGTTGACCGGCGTCCTCAGTTCATCCATCAGRAGCGACGACACGATGCTACGTGTTCGACGTGAATTACAGTTTTAAATGACCCTCCGCTCGTCTTTCATCAAACTTTGAGTTTTTACTGCGCAGAAAGTTAAAACAGACAGTCAGAACAAAACAAACACGAATAGTCTTTTCCAGGTTGGGAAGATTAAAAAAAGGCTTGAMGATGCAACTTAAAACAACTGCAGATGCTTTTTGTTCATCAAACACTTTTGTAAATGAGAAGTGGTTCTCAAACAGTTTACCTGGATAAATAAAKGTTAAATAAATAAATAAAAACTTCATTAGATTACCGTATTTATTCATGTATAATATGATCTCGTGTATAATACGACCCCCCTTTTTTGAGCTTAAGAAGTGTTATGGATTAATTATTTTTATCTGTTCTACATTGACACTGTCCAGTAATCATATCTTATTATAACCAGTTTYGGCTGTTTTACTCTATCAGCCCAGACTTCCAAGAATCCAGCAATGCATGACCTCTTTAATTTCTGATAAGGTGTTTTCAGGCTAACAGCCCTGTCATTGGTTAGATGGTTCACAGTTGGCGATCTGTGATTGGTTGTAAGCATGTCACATGATGTTATATCATTGGCTGCGCTACGCTGACGCACCAGTCATTTTATTTTAACAACATATGTACTAAAAGGTATTTTGACAACAAATATATATATCAGCTGTAGCAGCATCATATGAATTCTGGCATTTTACACATAGTCCACCAGGAGGCGCTAATCCAAAAGTCAGAGACTTCACATGAGATTTGGACCATCTTGTGGGGGAAAAGCAGATTACTTACTACTCGCGAGCGCCCCCTCTGGTGGGGAAACTTTTTTCAGGGATACAAACATTTTCAGAACACCGGTAGACGGCAGCCATTTCAGACGGACACGTGTGTTTGATGTTGTTCCAGGAGCGGCCTGGTCACACACTAATGTCATTAGTTCGTTATCATTACTAAGGTGCAGGACTGCTTTTTTCCCCTTTGTTTCACATCATGTCGCCTGCTTGGATCTGTTATTATCTTGCTCTGAAGCATGGAGGAGTGTTACAGGTGAGCTCATTTCAATTGCTTTTTCCAACGCAGTCTCATTTTCRGACTCCATAATTTTGCTGATATTTCAGTTAAAATACATAAGTAAAATTATTTATCCGAGTATAATACTACCCCCCAACTTTATGGATGATTTTATAGATTAAATTGAACGTACTATACTTGAATAAATATGGTAGATTTTAGATTCAGCCTTTCACCGTGGTGTCATCTGCATACTTGATTATGTGTTCTTTTCCCTGATGCCTGGAAGTTTGCTCAGATTCCTCCCATTTTTAAATCTGGTGATCCAACAGAAGTTTCAAATTATCGGCCAATTTCTGTTCTTCCTATTTTTTCTAAATTACTGGAAAAACATTATTTAATCAACTACTTCAGCATCTAGAAGCTAATAATATGCTAAGCAATAGCCAACATGGTTTTTGCACGTCAAGGTCAACCATGTCTGCTTTAATTTTATTCACTGAACAAATACGTGCTGCTTTGAACAAAGGTCCAGTAACTGGTGCTGTATATATTGATTTTCRTAAAGCGTTTGACACAGTTGATCATTATACTCTCTTACAAAAGTTGATTTCTTTTCAACTTTCATCATCTGCAATACAAATGTGTTCCTCTTATTTGACTGATAGGTGTCAGGTTGTGAAACATGGAAGCTCTGTGTCCTGGTCTCTGTCCTGTTCCGTGGGAGTTCCGCAGGGTAGCATAATGGGCCCATTGATGATACTGTTCTTTTTTGT